GTGGGGGGGGGGGGGGGGTTGAGACACGGTCTGGCCTAGCCTGGAAGTTGAAGGTGTCAAGTATAAGAATCATAGTACTTGGAGGAATAAGCTTAATCCATTGTGTGTGTGTGTGTGTGTGTGTGTTGGGGTGAATGCGACTAAAGTGGTTCTTTCTTCGTCTTCCCAAAAACAAAAAAAGGGTAAATCTAATAATCATAAGTCTCGTTGCCGAAGCCCTCGTCCTCATCATCGAGATAATTGTGTTCGAGATCTTCTTCGTCTTCGTCTTGGACGTGCATGTTGTCGTCGTCGTCGTCGTCTTCGTCTTCTTCTTCGGCGTCTGCATCTGCATGTGTGGCTTGGGGCACAATAGTGGTGGTAGTGGTGGTAGTGGTAGTAGGCGGGGATTTTGCAACGGGGCTAGTGCCCTGGGCGCTATCCGCCGGACTTGCTGATGCGGCGCCACCGCCTGGGAAGAGTTCTTTGAGGCGGTCGTAGTTGATGTGGTTACTGAAGGCCTTGTTGGCGCGCCTCTTGAGCATCTTGTGTGCGGCGTCTGCGGCGCTGGCTGCGGGCTGGCCTTCAAGGACGCTACCGTCGCCCATTTGGTGGTGTTTGCGTTTTTGCTTGGGCTTCTTGGGCTTGTCTTCTGCGGCTTCGAGTTCGGCAAGGAGCAGCTTTTCCTGCTGTGCACGCAGCCATTCTTCGTTTTCGGTGATCCAGACGGCTTCCTTGCGACGGACTTCCTCGGGGCCGAGGATGCAGGTAGCAACATCGGGATCGTCTTCGAACTCGTCTTCGCCAATCTCAGGATCCGTGTTAACGGGTATGTCGCGCTTATCTTGCGCCGCGCGTGCCATTTCTGCTGCCGTCCAGCCAGAGCGCCGGAGTAGGTCGTGATCCTCGTTTTTGGCGCATTCCTTAAAGACGGCTTCCCAGTCCTTGATGGCATTGGTGAGCTCTGCCTCAATGTCTTGCTCAATCTCAAGATCCTCTTCGTTGATGACAATGGGCACTCGTTTCTTGGGTGGTCGACCACGCTTCTTGGGCATGACAAAATCGGGATCTGTGGCCTCACCCGCCTCGACCTCCTCAACTGCAGTGACAACAGAATCGATCATGGCATCGGCGTTCCCGTCGAAAGTGTCGACTTGTGTAGCTGCGCGACTTTCACGGGCACCGGTTTCTCCATTTTGTGTTGCGCCTGCTTGCGATGAAGCGCCGTTTGATTTCTGTCTCCTGCTTGCCTCTGCTGATGCCGTGGCTGTACTAGCTTCTGCAACATTGTTTCCTGAAACATCCTCTGGCGATGCTGATATTCCGTCTACTCCTTGAAGCCTCCTCCGCTTCTTCTCTCGTCGCTCCTCCCTTTCTGCGCGCCTCCAGATGGCGGGCGGTTGAGCCTTGACCTTGAGTCGTGATCCAAATTCGCGAAACTGATTGACAGTCAAGGCGGCACTCTGCGTCCTTTTGTATTCGTACAAACGAGAGGTAATGGTGGAATCGGCGACTTTGACGACGTAAACAACTTCTCGGATCGTGCGACGAAAGTTGTTCATGCGGGCAGCGATGATGATGCAGGCACCACACAGTCCAGCTGGCTGGCGACCCTGAACCATCCAGTCTCGATTCATGCGCTTCAACACCTTGCAGGCGTCATCAGCCACTCGGTGGGAATCGTCTCCAAACTCAAGTTTCCGGCAGTACTTCAGCATCAGAGGCTCAATCTCCTGGACAGCCTTGTTGCCTACGAGCTGCGCGGGGTCCTCCTCTTTGAGCATTTCCAGAAACTGTTTGTATGTATCTCCCAGGGCCCAGACATTGGTTTGGATCTTCTCGGCGAGGTCGATGAGCATGAGCGTGTTCTCGGGCTGTCTCCGGGCTGCCATGTAGATTGCGACAGCGGCGACGTTCCTCATCCGGCGGCCCTGGATAAACCTAAAGTTCATGGCGAGCTTGTACCAGCTGAAAGCCTGCTCTATGACTGCCTCGCGCTGGTTCAGCGAAGCGCCCAGGGCTTGGATGGCGCTCTTCCCGTTCATGGCCGCCTGCTCCCTGCTCTCCATGCCGCCGAGACCTCGCATTGTGCCGCCCATGGAATTGGCGTGTCGCTGGTTGGCGTGGATGAAGCCACCCTCGACGATTGCTGCTCCGCCCGAAGTCTCGCCAAAAGTAACCTCGGAAACGATCTGGCTCTCGTCGTGGATGGTACCGCAGTTGTAGCACATGACGGTGCCATCGGACGTATCGATGGTAGGGGATTCGCAGCAGTTGTAGGTGCGCTGGGTGGGCTTGGCGGGTTGGGGCGGCCCCGCGGCTCTTCGTCGTGTTGCCGAGGATTGGTACTGGTAAGAGTCGGGTTTGTTCAGGCTGGAGAGGCGCGGGGCCCTCGGCGGCCTCGCTACCTGGGGCGCGGACATGGCGGCGGCGGCGGCGTGGTGGTTTGTCGAGCACGAAAAGGCAGCGGAAATAGCAGAGGAAATAGCAGACGAATCGAAGCAGAAGCCAAGAGGGCGCGCGAACGGGACGCGGTACCGAGGGCGGGGCACGGGCGGCGCTGATTGGCGGGGCGGGGTGGGCGCCTTGCCTGTTTTGGGCGCGAACGCTACACCTCGCGCTGCGAACACGGTGTGGATGGACATGGACCGACGGAGATGACGAGAACGGACTTGCATCAGCTGGGCCTCTGCGACTGTTTGGGGTGCAGCCGTCTGCAAGGCCTGCCCAAAACCCTTTCGGATGCCGGCATCCAGCGCGCTGCGAGCTGCGAGCATCGCGATCCGCACGCCCCAATACGGTCCGCCGGCACCGTGGCCAGAAGCAGGGCGTCTATGTCCATTCACCCCCAAGGCGGGCGCCTCCTTGATCTCTCTCCTCTGGCCATCCCCGCCCCTCGCACACACACACACACACATATATATATATATATATACATATATATATACACACCAGGCCAACGGCAGCCCGCCCATGGGCTCCTCGGAAGCGGTACCTGCAGCAAGCCAACCCAGGCCAACGACAACGGCAGCGCTTGGCCGGCTTCCATGACGGGCACGGAATGCAGGTCATGGCAGCCGCGGCCATGATTGGCTCCTCGCATGGCGCCCGACAAGGCCGGGCTGGAGAAAAGGCCGCAGTTCCTGGGCTGCCCTGGGCTTCCCAGCCTCCTTGTCGACAAGAAGGGGCTTGCGTACGTGTGGGTGGGTGCGTGTGGGTGCGTGGGTGGTGGCCGTGTGCTCCCAAGCTGCCTACACTATTTCATCCGCGCCCCCGTCAGTGTCGTCTGGTCCCCCGCCCAAACCCCAACCCTCATCCCATAGCTTCCTCGCCAACCTTGGTTGCCCTGGCCTTGGACCGCCCGCCCGCCCGGAACACTTAGCTGCTCGCTAGCTCTCTGCTGCCTTCGTTTTGCCGTCTAGCCCGCCAGCATGACGACCAGGAAGAGGAAGAACGACGACGAGGAGCTCGTTGCCCTCCCCAGCGACGAGAGCGACGACGAGGAAGAGTAAGTAGACGCTCTCTTGACGTCATGACCCGGCGCACCACGTCGCCCGCCTGCGGTTTGGTCTGCATCGACAAGCATGCCCGCCTTTGCTCGAATGGCTGCTTTTGATCGGCATTCTCAAGCTGCGTCGTCGCTGCACATACGCTCAAAGGCCCGGCGCAGTCGCAGCCACGAGCCGCCCAGTCGCGTCCATGCTCTCCACGGCAGCGGCCAAATGAATCATCGCCCCTTGCATTCTCATGTCTGCATACCTCGCATTGCTTTTTGGGCTGCTTTTGTTCAAACGGCGCGACTCGCGCGCATGCGACACGTGCACCAAGACTAACACTGCGCCCCCAGATACGACGAATCCGAAGGCTCCAACTTTGATTCCGAAGACGACTCGGACGAAGAGCCTCGTAAGTCTTCTTCATTACCGCGTGAACCTCCCGTCCCTCTAACAGCTCGTAGCGCCAAAGAAGAAGGCCAAGCGCACCACCAAGTCCAAGAAGCAAGAAGAAGAAGAGGAGGAGGATGACGACGAGGAAGAAGAGGACGAGGTAAGCGATGGCGAGGATGACGCCGCTCCCGAGGAAGAAGACGACGACGACGACGAGGAAGAGGAGGACAAGAAGAAGACAAAGGACACCAAGCCCGCTGGTGCCGACAAGGACCGCAAAGTCAAGACTACGGGCAAGAACGAAGCCGCGCCTGTAGTCGACGACGACGACGACGAAGAGTAAAGCACCACGCACCGCATAGACGCGCGGCTCGTTGTGTTTTGGCTCGATATACACAATCACAATTTGGTTACATATTCTTTTCCCCGTCACTCATGCGCAGAGGCTGTCTTCGAATCCATTCGTGATATCATATCCATATCCAGGGACGCTGCATGTACATTTTCCTCGGGAAAACCCTCCCTCCCTTTTCTACACCCACCGCTGGTACCTCTTTGTCTGCTGGAACCGCTGCTTGTACTGCGCATACCTCTCTGACCGCTTCTGCGCCGCCGTCTCGTTCCTCGGCGGGAAGCTATCCCACGAAACCGCATACTTGGCCGTCATGTGCGCAATGGCCCTCGTGAACTCGATCCACGCATCCAGATTCAGATTGTTGACCGTGTCGCCGTCCTCGTGGTAGTTGACGTCGTAAGGGACGCCCGCGCCTCCACCAAACATGTCGGCTTCGGCCTCCGTCTTGATGCCCTCGGCACCGCCCGCAATACCGCCTGCAGCGATGCCCGCCTCGAGGAACGGACCATAGTCTGACCGTCCGTCAAACTCAATCTCGGTGTGGTTGAGCCCAATGCTATCAAAGTAAGCTGCGAATTCGTGCTCGGCCTCGGCGGATCCCGCGGGCCCAGTCAGGTTGTACGCAGAGCCATCGCCGTCGTAGATCTGGTATGCAAAGTTTGGCGAGGCCATCATGTCGAAGTCGAGGAGAAGGCGGATCTTGTCCTTTTCGGCCGCAGACAGCTCGTGCACGTAGTACTCTGCGCCCAGCAGGCCGGCCTCCTCGGCGGTCCACCAGCTGAAGCGCACCGCGTTGTTGACGCTGAAGTTTGTGAGTTGCAGGGCAATTTCCAAGATGGAAATGGTGCCGGATCCGTTGTCGTTGATGCCCGGGCCCGCCGTTACAGAGTCCGAGTGCCCACTCACGTGGATGACGTTGTTGTGGTCTCCCGCCTTGGTCTCGGCAATGACATTGCGCGTCTTGTACACTTTGGCGTCGGTAGACATGTCAATGGAGATTTTGACGCCTGCGTTCAGCTGCGCGAGGAGCGCTTCGCCCTGGCCCATGGTAATGCCTGCAACAGGGACGAAGTCGCCTTTGGGAAACAGAACTTGCAGCGAATAGCCTTCCAGCGTGCCCTCGGCATTGTTCCATGCAATTACTCCAACTGCCCCCCTGGCAGCGGCAATCTGGACTTTCTCGCCGTACGAGCACACTCCGCGCTTGATGAGCGCCACGGAGCCTGCGAGTGACTCTGGGAAATCCGCCTTTTTTTCTAGTCTTAGTCTGGCTCTTCATGTACGTTGAGCATATAGTATGCTAGACAGACTTACCTCCTCACAGCCCAGATTAGGCACAGCAACAAGCGGACCCGTGACGTTGCCGCCAGGAGCCAGGGCTACGGCAAAGGCATCAATCGAGTTGTTGTTGGCCTTGAGCGTGGCACTGCTTCCGAGCGAAAGCGGCACATCTTGAGTGTACACGTCGTAGTAGTCTGGGAATGCCGCGAGCTGGCTCAAGATGTATTCGACAGTGTCCTCGTGGCCCTGGCTACCAATGACGCGGTTCTTGCCCGGCGTGCTGTATGCAATCTTCTGCAGTATCTCTGCCTTGGCGTACAGGTTGTCGATGTCAAGCGTATCACGGAGCGATTGCTAGAGCGAGTGTTAGAGCAGCCAGCAGGTTGATATTAGGAGAGCTTTTGTACCGAGTCAACAAGCGGCTTGCTGGTGCGAGCCTGGAAGGCCGCTGCATCCGCTGCTACGGCAAAAGCAGCAAGAGCCGCGATTGATTTGAGGCCCGCCATTAGGAATCAGAACGAAAGGGGAGTGACTCTTTTCAAAAAGTCGGCGGGTGTGTTGCGCAATTTATGTTGGTTACCAGCCCACCCTTGTCCTAATGTCGTACTTACCGGCTGCTGGTTTGCCAACTGGGGAGAACAAGATGCCAGAGACCAGGCACAGCGCTTCCTACTGACGTAGCAAGCATGCGTGAAAGGTGCAGCTCACAATAAAAGCCCACATGGAACGGGCTCTTTGCGACCTGCTAAATCCAGCCAAGTGAATGCATCCACCACACGAGGGCTGACGCCCTCGGCCCACCAATAACGGCTGCGGGCACAGCGAAGAAGAAGCACACGAGCCGTGTCAAGACGTGATAAGCGGCCTTGGTAAGCTTCGATTCGGTGCTACGCCAAGGCACGCCAAGGGCCCGCCTGATGGCGGATGGGGATGCTTCTGCATTTGGGAGCGCGGATTGCGGCATCTTCTGCCAATGTGGGGGGGGGAGGCGGGCAGACAAGCGGTGGGGCGATACCAACATCTCGGCGGCGTAACGGGCGGCTGGTCCAGCTGTCTACATAGGGAATTGCCTGGTTACTACTGTAGATGCACTGGCCCGGATGTAACATGGCCGGACGTTGTGCTCTAATCTGGGTATATGGGAATGCTGTAAGTGGCCTGACGCAAAGGTACTAAGGGTTGGTGTAAGTGGAACCTTGACTCGTCTCCAACTAACGCCGCTCCGATCCTTTCAATCGCTCGCTGCCTCCGATACGTCAAACATACCTCGCAATCGCATTTGTATTTGGGATTCGTGGGAGAATCCATGAATGTTGAAGAGAAGAAGAAAAAAAAGGGGGACTCGCAGTCATCTTCCAAGTACCGACTCTTTTTTTTCGTTCCTCTGCAGAATCGGCGCGTGTATTCCGTCGGCTTTTTACCCGCGCGGAGAGGACTGCGTGCTCCACGGACCCAATTATGAGCGATAACCGCGCAGATAGGAACACCCGAAAAAGTGGGCTTGAAATTATCAGCTCCGTGATGGCTTCCAGCCGCTTCTAGTCTCCTGAGTCCCTTGCACTGGCATGATAGTGATTTCCGTGTGCATACTCCCGCTCTTGATACTCCTGCTTGTTGTCCAAGTCGGGCTGTTTTGCTTTTACCAGCGATGCTTTTCTGGCTGAGGCTCGCTTAATTGCGAATCGAATTGGCTGGGCCTTGGAGCTCCAAAATATGCATGATATTCGCTCAGGTGGGAGAACTGGGCACTCTTGTTGATATGTAGAGATTGTGGGTTTTCGACTGCCTTTGAAAAAGTATGTGTGCTTTGAACTTGGCATAGTTCCTGGATGTATTCTCTCCCTGCAACACGCGTCGCGAATAACTCTTTTACCCTTTTTGAAAGATATAATTAGCGATTCTCGTAGGCGGAAAAAGAAATGAGGACCTAAACGGTAAGATCATAGATCATGTTCATGTCTATGAGCGGCTGTAGCGGGTGACGGGTCTATAATGTCAGAGCTCTTGTTCGCATTTGCATGTGTGCGCTGTTATCCCATGCTTGACTCATGTGCATAACTCTCTCGTCAAATGGCACTCAAGACTCTTCCAAATGCTTTGGACCAAAGATTGTGTGGCAGCATGGGTCTACACGCAATGCTGCGGTCAGAGAAGCTACGAGGCATTAGCATATTATAATCGGTACCAATTGAAACATGACCAACCACATCATCCCTCGAAATAATCAGATAATCAGGCCCCGTAAGTTGTGATACCTGAGCATTGTCCTGGAACTCCGCAGCAGACCACGAATAGATCAATACTATAAAGATGCGTCGTATGGTGCAAAGAACACTTTGGATGCAGTCGTATCGAGGTCACGGATCCATTTTCAATTGAACCAGGTATGCACGGCTGAAGAGTGACCGAATACAGTGATGTAGGACATGAGAAGACATCGTGAGACGGGGTTACCAAGGTACTTGCGCTAAACCGCTTTGGCTCGTAGCATGGCCAATAGAGATTAGACTGGGGCTACAAGGACTTGGACTTTGACAGCTGTAGAAAGCATTGTCGCTATAATAGTTAGATTGAGATATTGCTAGGATGTAATAATCATCTCTAGCATGTACCTGGTTCCATATCTGCCCCGTATATGCAGTGAAAGATAACTTGCCATAACTCATACTCCGTATCAATATAATATTATTATACTCCAAAAGAGCGGACGGAACTATATCGTTTAAATTGCACTTAGGAAGAAAAATACAGCCTTCTATCACTACAGGCACGATGCAAGGCGTTCTGTACACACTTTGAATCGCACACTCAGCTGCTACAAGCTAGCTACGCGAAACTGGAGCATGAACGTCAGTATCACCCGGTAGATCCTCAGAACCACAATTTGCATAGATATAACTTCCTCGCGTTGGGGCATCATAGAAGGATACTAGATCAAGTGAACATTTCTGAATGGGTAATACCCTAGCAAAAAGTGGTTACTCGAAATTGGCAATGACGAAATGACCCATAGAAGTTTGCTGTCAAAAAGCGGCAGTGGGTGCGGTTGACGCAGCCTTGCACCTAAAACGGCACTCTTTGTGTCAGTCTGAGTTCCCAAAGGGATACTTTGACATGGGTAAGGCGGGATCGAAGCAGGGAAAATGCAGATTGCAGACCAGATGTGGTGGCTGGTGGGGTGTGTAGATCATAGTTACTCAAGATGCCATTTCCAACATCACCACTATAACCAGCAGCTGTGCATGCGCTCCAGAACGCATATTTCGATGCGCCTTGCTCGGCTCAAAATATAGATCAAGCAACACTTTAATTTACCGCTCCTGACTCTTTTTCATGAACGTTCGAAGGCGGGAAGAAAACTAGGCATGAGGTTAGCGCGCAATTAGATCGCCGCTGATGGTTGTGGCTTGCCATTCGTTAGTGCGTGAGTGACGTAAGGACCATTGCAGCTCTACCCGTCCTTCCATTGTGTGAGGAGCAAACAAATCTCATGATCCACCTACTATTACTTCCCCCTCCATCCTCCATCCTCTCAGGCTTTGATTCTCCAACATCTGGCCCAACATGTCGACAGGTGGTGTGGTCTACAAGGACCTTCTACCAGTTCCCGATGCAGATCCTACAGAACACCAAGGCAAATCGACTACGCTACTGGATGCACCTACCGAAAGCCATGCACTAGCTTTGGAAGCCGCCAGGGCACCCCAGACAGAAGAAAAGGGAGCAGCGCAGGTAGAGCATGGAGACGAGGTAGTGGACTTGGGGTGGAATGAGCCAAAAGAGCTTGTCGCGAAACCGCTCGTAGGAGGCCTGGGAAATGAAGACCTCTGGCTGCTGATTCGACGTTTCAACCAGGCAAGTTTATGTACAATATTACCCACTCTCATACTAATTCCCGCAGCAAATGTACCATGTCAAGGAGATTCCAACAGCGCCCCCTGGAGGTCTGGACATGAACATTGCCGATGAAGAAGAGTTCTCTCCGGACAAGCTTCGTGCCAACATTGAGCGCCTTTACATGACCATTGTAAGCCCTTGGACTGTAAGTTTGCTACAAGTAACCTAATTGTGTTTAGGGCATCGGTCTAATGGGATTTGGCAAGCACATCGCCCGCATCCGCTCGTGGCGCGAGACTCGACGCACTGCATGGTTTTGTTCCGCATATTTCGCCGCTTGGTTCCTCGACATGATCATGCCCCTGCTATCAGTGACTCTGGTAACGCTGATCGTTTACCCTCCGGCTCGCGAGGTCATGTTTCCTCCAGCGCCCATCGCCCTCGTCAGCTCCAGTGGAGGTGTTCAAAAGCCAAAATCAGGAACACTCGGAAGTACCGACAGTGCAACTGGGGCACCTGAAAACCACAAGGGTGAAGCTGTAGAACAAGAAGCCTCCAACTTCGTCAACGGTTTCGCCACAATTGCATTGTCGAGTGCAACTGGCAAACACCCTGGGGGTGAGCCCCCAGAAGAAGACTCGCCTGATAGCACTATTCCAGACCCCACCAGGCTCGCCATTGGTGCTGCCGATGCGAAGGATAAGGCGGCCGGTGCTAATACCGGCAAGGAATATGATAAGACTAAGGTGCCTGTGGAGACTGCCATGTGGACCAAGATGAGGCCAATCATGCATGGGCTTGCAGACGTCGCAGACACCTGGGAACGTTTCGCAAAGTAAGTACCCTTCCGCGAGGATGCTCAGCTCATGACTGATTATCTAACAGTATGCTTAACCCGACACCTCCATTCCCCACAAACAAATTTCACTTTCGACTTGCAGCAGTCGTTGCACCCCTCGTACTTGTCTCACTTTTTGTATCTTCCTACGTGTTCATGAAGGGTGTTACATTCGGCGTAGGATTCGGGTTCTTCGGTGACCCCGCCATCCAACGAGGACTTGCACTTCTCAACAGAAAGTTCCCCCACTGGCAGAAATTACTTGAGCTCCGTAACACACTGCTCAAGGGTGTCCCTACCAACGCCCAACTCACAATCACTCTACTCCGTCTCGGCGAAGCAAACAAGGCCCCGCTACCACCTCCACCACACGTCGCTCAGCCACCTCCTGAAAAACCCACAGATGTCAACGAAGAAGAGCTTCGCGCCACGGGCGCCGATTGGCCTCTCAATGCTACAAAAGAAGAGCTCGATGCAGCCATGGCGCATGATCCCACGGTTGCGCACCAAACAGGTGGTGAAGACATTGATGAAGCCAAAGACAGCAAACACGGCAAAAAGGGCACCAAGATTCTCAACTTCTTTCGCAGCACAGTCAAAGGTGGTGTGGAGACTACACGAGGCGCCGACAAAGTCAAAGCGGCAGCTGGCTCTGTACATGCGAAGAATAGGCTGGGTGCAGTGCCACCTCGCAATGTAGATCTGACATCGGGCCCTGTCGAGTTCAAGGCCAGGTATGGGGGCAAGAAGGGCCATGCGTACATTACGACCAAAGCAACGATTCCCAGCATTGCCTTTTCCACGGACCAGACGATTGAGAAGATTGGCAGTGTAGACAGAGAGGACCTGCACCCTTTGTGGTCTATTACTGTCGGCGACATTCTAGAGATACGAAAGGTGGGCGGGTATGGATGGAAAGCAAAGTTGGTCGTTGGATGGGCTATGGAGCGCGAGGTGGCTGACGGGCTCATCATTGTCGATCGCCGGCTCAACGAGTATCGCATCACGGCGTTGCCGCTGAGAGACGAGCTGTTTAATCGGCTGGTTGCTATGGGAGGCCAGAAGTGGGAGTGCTGGTAGTCATAACAGTGTGAACAGATTGGATTGGATAGCATCTGCCTGTATGGATCCGGAAGCATATTCATAGTACCCTTTAGTAATGATCAAGGTGGTATCAATACCTAGAAGACACAAGGAAGTTATTTCCTAAGGCTATAGTCGATCTTCAGGTGGCTGTGCGATGATGCCAGTATGAGGTGTATAGTGAAGTGTCTTAGGCAAATTGGGTCTAGCTCCTCGTCCTGGAAGCATGGAGAGAAGCTTCAGTCCGCGGTTAGCGAGGTTATTTGACTATAGGGCTGCTGGACGCAACACAGCCACCTCCTTAGAAGCCATCTAAATTCCCAGTAGACAGCGCTAGATAAGAAGCCTGGAAATGTGCGACATGCACATGTGAAGGCAACGGGTGCAGTTGATGTGGTTGGAGAGACCGGGGTGTCATGGTGGGGCAACAACGTGGATCCCTGCCCATGACGCAGCGCTTCCTGTAACAGCGGGACAATCAATCAGGGCTTCGACGCCGCCCACGACGACATGTTGAGCGCCGCCCAGAGTCACACGTGCTACCCAATTCGCCCCCTTCTACTTGACAAAAGCCCCTACTCCTCCAGCACCTCCTCATAACACAACTCCTCATCAACATCATCCATATCACAACGCCCCGCGCCTAAACGTCGCCATGGCGTCCTACCTCGAGAAGATGCGCCGCCAGTCCAAGCAGCTCTTTCCACAGAGCAAGCAGAAGCCTGGCCCCCCACCAATCGCGGATCCTCCCAAGGTTGCCGAGTCTGCTACACCAAAAGTAGAAGACGCTGCTGTTCCCAAGATCGACGAACCTACTGCAGAACCCAGCGGGCCAATTCCCGAGCCGCCTGAGCCGACCGTCACAGAAGCAAGCGAAGAGGTAGGCAGCGACCCAGTTCTGGATCCCGAAGATCAGAAGTTCCTGGAGAGACTTGCGGCCATAGCTGCAGAGCCCGAAGGCACGCCTCCACCTCTGCCTGAGCGCACGACAGTAGTCGACGACACGGGCGAGAAGAAGGTCGGCAAAGACGCACAGGAAGCGCTCATGGATGGCGCAGATAAAGTTCCTCTCCCTTCAAGCCCCGCTGCGACAGCTGGTGACGCTAGTAACAAGGGCAAAGGCAAGGCTCCCGAGGGTGGTCTTGGCCGCAAAAAGAGCGTCCTGTCGTACTTTTCATTGCCCAAGTTTAACAAAAAGGACGGCGACAAGGCAAAGGACAAGCCATCGCAGGAGAAGAAGACGGTATTCACAGACAAGGATAGGGCCCAGTTTGCAGACCATCTCCAAGCTGCCGCCGAGGCGGCCAAAACGACTGAGCTCGCGGATGCCCAAAAGCAGGACAAGGAGCTCACCGAGATACTGGACCAGCTGAATCTCTCGGCTGTCAACAACCGCGTCTTCAGCTTTAGTAAAGAGTCGGAGGAGCTGCTCACCAAATTTACCCAGGTCCTCAAAGACCTTGTCAACGGCGTGCCGACGGCCTACAATGACCTCGAGAAGCTCTTTACCGACTACGACAACCAGCTCAAGAAGATGTACGCTGGCCTGCCGCCGTTTTTGCAGAACCTCGTCAAGAGCCTGCCAGCCAAGCTTACGGCAACGCTGGGCCCAGAGTTTATGGCTGCGGCGAGCGAGAAGCCTGGATTCGACGCCAAGACGGCAGCCGAAGGAAGCAAGGCCAAGGGCAAGCGATCGATGCTGCCTCAAGTCCCGAACCTCAAGTCTCTGGTTTCCGTCCAGGGCGCCGTCGCCACGGCCCTCCGCAGCATCGTCAACTTTTTAAAATTCAGATTCCCCGCGCTGGCCACGGGAACCAATGTCATCATGAGCCTGGCGGTATTCACCCTCCTCTTCGTCTTCTGGTACTGCCACAAGCGCGGCCGCGAAGTCCGCCTGGAAAACGAGCGTCTGGCGGCGGAAGATGAAAACCGTGCTAGCGCCAGCGGCGCGTCGTCAGTCAAGGACGACGAGGTCGACTCGATTTTCGGGTCGCAAATCAGGAACGCAGAGGGAAAGAGTACCCGCCCGAGCACCCCGCCGAAGGAGCCGCTTGTTATTAGTGACGGCAAGGAGAAGACGGCTGTGGAGGATATGCCGAGTGTGTCGCATCTGCCCGATCCAAAGTCGGGTGAGGCGCCAGCTGTGCCGCCGCCTTCGTCAGGGGGGAAGTAGGAAGTTTGTGTTTTGTAGTGAGAAGGCGTCTGTGTTTTTCTTTTGGCTACAGTTTGTTTCGACTCATGCTGCGTTGTTTTCCCTTGTTGCATATACCCTGGTTTTTTCAAGTTGGAAAAAAGAAAAAGAGAAATGTGGCGCTAATACACATGCAAAAAAAAACATTCCCGCTTGCAGCAAATAAGATACTCTGTTTCGCAATCAGGAGAAATGGTGATGGGAATATAAGTGGTACAATTACAACAAGATACACACAATAGTAGGTCGTCTCACGGCTTCCTCGCATGAATAACGACAACCTCGAAATAGGCATGCACGCGCCTCTCCTTGACGCCATTCCGGAACTTTGCAAAGAAAACCTGGGCCTCTTCAACGCTCCAGCCCATGACCTTGGTCAGCAAATAGAGCCCCCAGCCCTCAGCGCCCTGGGTAATATGCAGCAGATTCCAGCGACCCAGCTCCTTCATATGGGGATCCGCAGGCCAACTATTAACAGGGACCTTGTACAAATACTCGTGCACATCAACGAAGCCCGTATTGCGCATATACATAACCAAATTCCAAACTTCATAGAAGCTCTTTCCGAATCTGCGGCTGGCCTCGTGGAAAATATCGCTCCACTGCGAGAGCACGTGGTCGGGCTTGAGCGAGCCGTCGTCGCTCTTGAACTGGATCGACATTTCCAGCTGGTGCAGGTAGCCGCCTGGCTCGAGGTTGTGGTATATCTGTGTGTAGAGATCGGGCCACGAGTGGATGGAGCCGTACAGGGAGCGGATGTTGATGAAGTCGAAGCGAGACGTGTAGGTCCAGGGGAGGGTTACGTCGTCGATTTCGAATTTGCAGTTGGGTGGCGTGAAGGAGGGCTGGATGGGCGAGAGGTCGATGCCCGTGATTTCGGCGGCGGGGTGCTCTGGGTCGGGGGGTTCAGTAAGGATTCAAGATACATGCGTGGGTAGATAGGTAGACGAAAAGGAACTAACTCACCATCCGCCATATCCATGCACCAAATGCCCGTGCCACAGCCGAGATCCAGCACGCGTTTTGGATCCTTGATCGGGGCTAGATGCAGGCGGTGGCCGAGCAGAATCAGAAACATGTGGTGGGCAATGTCGAGATGGTCGTTTTGGACTTCGTCGTTGGGGCCCCAGTAGTCGTTTTCGCCCTCGCGGTACTTGTGGTAGCGGCGCCCATTTTCAAAGCGGCCGCGGTGGATGCTCGAGGCGATGGACGTGGTGTCGCTGGCGGCATCGTCGTCGCCGAGCGCCGAGTCGGTGTCGTCTTCGGTGTTGTCCTGTTGATGTTGGTTGGGGATTTGGAACGGGGAGGACGAGAGGGTTTATTGGCAGTGAATGACTTGGGAGCATGCATTGTGATTGGCTGGTTAGTTCAAGAAATGGGAAGACGTACGACGGACACGTGAGGATTGATCTGCTGGGCCGAGGCGGCTGGGCCTTCTGTTTCCGAAGGCAGCTGTGTTTGGTATGCAGACGAGGAAGAAGCTGCTGGGGGCGGTGCTGGTGCTGGTGCCGAGGACGAAGAGGCTTGTGGTGGGAGTGAGGTCATTGTGCCAGACCCCGGCACTGCGCTGGTAGTGGTAGCAGTAGTGCCGTCGTCGGCCCTTGTCGATGCTGACTCGGCGGCCATCTCCCTCTCTTTTCCTTTGCCGGCGCTCGACATTGTTTGGCGGTATGTCTCTGCGCCGCTGCGATTGGCGAGGCGGGGGATGCGAACTGGATGTGCTCGTCTGGCAGCCAAGAGTTCTTTGTCAACGCAAGGGGTGGCTGTGCCTCAACGACACTTGGACTGACGTCCAGCAACGGGCCGGAGCGAGATGGGCCCGTTCGATAAGCGAGTATCTAAGGGAACAAAACGCTTGGACAGTGGAGGGCCTGGCGGTTCAGCGGTCCACGCAGGCAATGCAGGTACAGAGAAGGCGACGGGTTTGTTGCAGAGCATCTGGGGCGCCGTGGACAGAGGTATATTGTCGACGCCCCCCTGCCGGCACACCAGATGGCCAAGGGCGACGACATGCATCGGGGGGCTGCGAGTGGCGAGCACGGAAAAGAATAGTAAAAACGTGGCTTGTGGGCTGGGCGACACCACTACGAGCATGAGTGAAGAGCCTGGGCGGGCGGATTGCTTCCCAGTGGGCGGGCTAAAGCGGCGGCGCGTCGTGGTGGATAGCATGTCGCGACTTGCAGCGGCCTCGACGAGTATAGGCCCGGCACACGACACCAACGACGCCCTGCATGCACGCTCTCCCTCTCTCTCGCCTACTCGCTCTCGCTCTCGCCCTCGCCCTCGCCCACTCGCATACACCATGGCCCTGTTCGCGCGAGGCCAGCAAAGGATATCGTGACGCTCAGGCTCACGCCGGCGACTCGCGCAAATAGCGTCCCTAGCCCGCCCGCTACGCTGCCAGGAACCAGAAGCAGAAGCAGATACGGCTCGCAGCCCGTCGTTGGTCAGCATTCATGGCAGCTCGCAGGCCAGCGCCGTCCCGCAGCTGCAGTCGCTTCCGCGCCTCCTCCCCA